TATAATACACAATTGAGAACGTATCTCAAAATACGAATGAAGGCACTAATGACAAATTTACATTTTTAATCAGACAGTATCTTATAGTTGGTTGACTATCAATGAATGTCAGAATCAATGCTTTAGTGTTAGGTACGTGCTTGGGTCAAAACATTCTCTTGGAGTAAAGGGTAATCAGTTTTCCTATCACTGTAAGAGGAAACATCTAATGAGAACTTCACACTTGAAAAAGGCTTACGTGAATTTCCTAATTGAACCGTTCCCAACTGTTGGCACAAAACCTAGCTGAATGCTGATTTCATCTTTAACAAACAGCTAACATAAATCATTTCTAATCCAAAACCAACCAAGTACCCTTTAAGAAGGATTTAGAAAATAAGCTGTATGTTCAAAATTAAACAGAAAACCCGAGTCTATACTAGTAGTTTGACAAAATAACACTTTCAATATAATGCTGATGTGGTCAAAACAAAAAACCAAAAAAAATGTAACTTGATGAAATAATTGAACCAGCCATTTTCCTTAGATACAAACTTTATAGTTAATAACACATACAGGAGTATTAAATAATGCTTTTCTCAGGACAGAATTAAAGAGAATTATCCTCAGTATTCATGGCTAAACTCTACAACCAAGATAGAAGTTCTGGCAAAGTGTGCTTTAGGTAAATGGTGCTTTCATAATTCCTCCTATCCCCACCACCACATACACACCACAGAGCATCCATATTATGTCTGCTTTTCTCTCATGTTCTTGACTATAGGTTACATGAAAAACAAAATGTATCCTCTACCTGGTATAGAATCACAAAAAAAAAGGTTCAAAACAAGGTTAATGAACAAAAAGTTCCCAAAGCCCAGAAAGCTTTCTTCTGATCATTTTTCAGTTCTAGGGTATGCTACCACTAAATAGAAATCAGAAAAATGCTACCACACCCAACTAATTAGACTAAATATAATAAATCAAGTATAACTGAAAACAGCAAAACTGAAACCAACTTACAACAAAAAAATTTTTCACTGTTGAATAGGTATTGATATTCTTGTGAACACTGAGTCCTGTTTTTGACCCAAATGAAGGAAAAATACTGCAAAAATAAGGTATTAATAATTTTCTACATATGCATTTTATCCCTTTCATCATGGCAAAATCACACAATTGAAATAAAGAGGATCAAAATCACAATACTGGTCCCCCACTTTCGGTGCGCACTACTCAGATTACTGCTCGTATTAGACAACTGCCTTGAAAATGTTTTAATGTTACCCAATAAACACACTTTTGATAGACTATGAGTTTTTCATTAACTATTTTTTAAGTTGTTAGTATATTAACCTTAAGAATTACAGTAAAATTCTCAAAGCTATGATGAAATTCAGCTGTTTCCATATAATCCAGCAAAAGATTTAGAACATGACAAATGGCAGACATGTAAGCCAATCACACTACAACCTCAAACATATTTAAGGAAAGCCATATTGTTTTTTAAGTAACATACTGCTGGTGGTAGAAATGCTATTACAGACACGATTTCAAATGTTATGAAATAAAATGAACTGTTCGTACTTCTGCTTTAGTTACTATCCAAAGCAGATGTGGTGCCCATTGCAAATGGAACAAGGTTGTTTGTAACTGATAGTAAAATATATTCCCAGTGCCTTGTTTTACTTTTAGTGCTGGTATGTGCTCATAACCTCCGACAGTTATGTACGCACTGAATAATGTGATGTGCTTAAAATATTACATTTATTCAGAATATTTACCATCAAAGTTGGCCTTTGAAATAAATATTTTACCTTGATTAGTTTTGACCAAAACCGATCCTGTGTTGTAGGCAGAAAAGTGAACTTAATTTTAGATAAATACTCTACTTAATTTCCATGCTAACAGCAACTTAAAATTACTCCATGACTTGTAATATGGGGGAAGTTAACTCACTTAAAGGCAGTTCTCGTGATGTTTCATTGTCCTTACATACATCTTCCAGGTAGATTTCTTTCTCTATAATAAGTTCTGTCCAAAAGATAAGTGGCTTAGAGAGGGAGCCAATGTTTTTAGTGCTGGGTAAGTCTGCAAGCAGTATCTGATGATTTTCCACCACTACTCTGTCAAACCAGTAATTATCTGGTGGGGGGATGGGGTGGCCAAGAAATGAAAGAAATTGGTTACTAAAGTTATTACAATCTTCAGAAAACATTAAACATGTGACAAACATTTCTTACAAGGCAGTTGTTGAATAATTAGAATAAGCAGTCAGAGGAATTCTGTTGCTGAAAACAGGTATACATTATGTTCATCCAATTGAAGATTAGTGCATTAAAAAAAAGTTAAGAAAAAAATCTTTTCTGTTCCAGTTCAGCTGCACTTGATTCAAGTGTTGCTCATAGAGGTTTGTGTTGTTATAAATTAAACATGCTGCTTCCTCAGCAGCCAAAGGTACTAGGCAAAAATGTTCATGTCACAGAATAAATAGAGCAGATCTCTTTCCAGCCGAAAAGTTATCTCACACCGATCCGGGACGTCATCCACTCTAGACCTTGGCATAACCTGAGACAAAAGACAAAAGGAGTTTCAAAATGAAAAACCTTATACTTAAAAATTGAACGCATACTTATTTTTAAGTCTTACTCGAAAGTTGGTACTACAATAATTATTCACACACTGGAGTGACAACATTCAGGTAATATTATACTAAATAGGCTTTTTAAGTGGAAAATTCACACCAACAAAATGACCCTAATCAGTTAAGTAATGTGGGAAATTGCTTTAGTCTCATCTAAAGATACAGCTCTGGCAGTTTTGCCATTAAGATTGTAACTAGACCCCCCTTCCTCCGACTTCAAGATGAACCAAAACTAAAACCACTATAGGAAGACAGCAGAAACTTCACCATACCCTCCTGAATGCTAAAGAATAGAGTGCTTACAGCCTAGTCTTAAAAGTACAGGTCAAAAAAGTCTACATGTAGATATATTACAAGCTTTTTCTAGTAAGAGAAATGAGAAGGTCAGCTGGATCTGAGGATAAGTAAGTTCCTGGAAATAAAGTGGATAACCCATATATAACCCACTGGGTTCTCCCTACCCTACTATGTCCAAACTCAAATTTTCAAGGAAAGAGAAAATATATTGGAATGGCATTTATTTCAAAAGTTTGTTGTTTGGAAGTATGCCTCCCAAATGACTCCTGATAATCAAGGAGACATCTTGTGGAAAGCTGGGAGTTCATGCTTAGTTAGGCCCTTGCAGAAAATATGACATTTCTTTGAGGCTTCCTTTTTAGTTCAGGCAACATTACGGTCTTCTCCCAGTTAGTCAACGATAAAAGTTAAGACATGAACAACGACTAAAAATCTGGGTTGTGAAAACTTAATTCAGAAGTTTGTTCTTGCCCTTTTTTGGTAAAACATTCTATTTATATTAAAAGTTACAAAACATTTGTCAGTACTTTGCTGAATCCTAATTTAACAACAGTAACTGACTATAATTATTCCAACCTTGTAAGCCGGAGACACAATGAAAGCCACCTTTAAGAACAAAAATGGGACAGAATTCAAAGAAAACATGCTGGCCCCCTGAAAGCTGAAAGAATTAGAAAGGAGCCAAACCTCCCCTCAGAGTGATGAGCACTTACCCTTCTCCTGTTAAAGCACAGCAGGACTGAATGTGCCAGGGGTGGTCCTTAATTGAACTCAGGGTGAGGTATTTAGAGATTTCGGCTGCTGTCATACACCCTTTCATATCCTGTTTATTGGCAAAGATAAGGACGGCAGCCTTCTGTAAATCCTGCAATCAACATGAAATATTTCTAATATCTGAACTACTACAATTCAAATAAACTAGTGAAGCAGGAGGGTAAAAACACGCCCGACTGAACAATTATAATGAAACCTCTCTACTTTAAAATGACCAGGTACTACAATTTAAAAGTTTGATTGAAATAAATATAAATGACCTCAAATCACCGTGACTTAATGATTCACTCTAACAAAGACAGATAAACTTATATAAGCTAGATAATTAAAAATTATTTTTCCATTGCTGCACCAAATACGTCAAACTAAAAGTAAACCTGAATCTGAAATAATGACTTATAACTATATGAGCAATATTCCAATGGGCAAATATAGTACACACTGCCAACTACTACAGAATTTCTCCAAAATTTAAAGGAGAGTACTGGAGGAGGGGTTGGGCAATACTTACTAGTCTTTGTATAACCTAAGCTCACTGATTAATGCTCACTGCAGCACTGTTTATACTACCAAAATATTAGAAATAACAAATGTTCATTAATAGAAGAATAGATCAAATGTGGTATATTCATACAGTGGAATACTATGTAGTTGTTAAAAGGAATGAACTAAAGCTGTATGTACTAACATAGATAAATCAGTGTTGTGCAAAAAAACCCCTAAACCAAGTTACAGAAAGATTACACACACACAAACACACACACAATGCCACCATGTAAAGTTGTTTTATCAATGTGGAATATTCTATTCTGTAGAACTGATAGGTATATAAAAAAAACTAATAAAAGTATAAAAGTATAATAAAAGTATAAAAATACACACAGGAGTAATGATCACTGCCTTTAGGATGGGAGAATTCTTTTAGAATTCTCTGAAGACAAGGGAAGGAAATCAGATTGGAGAGGTCTAAGATTTAGTATCTTATGTTGACTGGTGGGTACATGAATGTATTTTATTATCTAAGTCCTTTGTATATAAGAACTATTTCAAAAAATGATCCCAAATTATTCACTAAGGAATTTTCAGCTTTAATAAACTCTAGAGGGAAAAACACTTAAATTTTCCTCTTTCTTGCCTCAATTTATCAGACTTTTTAAGGTATGGCTAAGTAGTTTGAAAAATATTTTCAATAATGATATTAATCTCCAAATTAATGTGGTAGACTTTATTAAGTTTAATAAAGCACTAAAATTTTTGACTTCAAAGCTTTCATCAATTTAATATACAAAACATTGTTAACAATAAAATAACTGACAGCAGAGGACATTAATCATTGTAAAAAAGCAAAACCTGTATATGGATACCTTACTCCATTTATTTTGTTTACTTTCAAAATTTACCTCATGAGCCAACATTCTGTATAATTCTTCTTTTGTAATAGCTAGTCGTTCTCTGTCAATGCTATCGACCACAAGAATGATGAACTAGAGGTGAGAAAAAAAAAAAGAAAGAAAATTGAAGGGGATGTGAGGTGTTCTGCAAAACTACTCTAAGTGCTAGAAGTACTTTCTGTGATGGCATCATCATCACTATAAAACGGTCTACTGCGTTTTCATCATCAGGAGTTTACAGTATACTGAATCACAGCAAGCAGCAAAATCCAAATGGTAATATGAAAAATAACTCATAATTCAACAAATAAAAACCATGCCCAAGTTTATTTTCAAATGGTGATGCTTGAATGTATAATATACCCTAATATGTACTAAGATTTATTTTAAAATGCAGGTAATAAAAAGTAGTTTTTAAAAAGAAAGTCACAGTAATTTTAGTAACTTTCACTAAAACTTAAAAGTACTCTGTACTCATTCAAGCAATCGATAATTATGTTTAAGACAGTCTCCTGCCTCTTAGAAAGAGGCTAGTTTCAAAGAAAAAAAGAAACATGTTTAAAAAAACTAACAAATAAGACATTTTTACATGACAATATCAACAATAAAAGGGCAAGAAAAATGTGCTAAGTAGAAATATACTTGGGTGTTAATAACGTACTAAAGATACAGGTGAAATTCAAGAGTGCAAAGAGAACAGAAGAAAGCTATTGGTAACGGTGTGCATGAAAAAAGGTGAAGGTAATACATTAAAAATAATGTATCTTTGATAAGAAAAATAAGAAGATAAAGTGAGAAAGGGCCCCTAAATGGAACATCTTATGCAGAAGAAAAAGCTAAGAAGTGAGATGAAGTGTTTTGAAGAGTTATAGAAGAGAAGTGATGTAAAAGAAATCAAGACAGGAAGGGTAGAATCAGATTATTCAGATGGCTTTAAAATTAGGGAAAGAGACAACTATAGGAATCTGAATATAAACTGAGAAAGGGCTGAGGATGATAAAAGAAAAGAAAATAGAAAGGATAAATATAAGAAACACGGCAAACTTTCTTATGGGGAGGTAACTATAAATTAATGAGAGGAAGGTGCAAGGAATTAATCAACAACTTTGACTCGCTGTATTAAAATGGAGACATTTCAGCTTTTGAATGATCCCTCCATGTAAAGAATTGAAGAAGCCAAGACAAGGGTGAACAAGGCGATGGGAGAAACACCACACAGACGAGAGCCCTACAAGAGTCTAAGACTGCCAGCACCTTGTGCTATGCTGGTGGGCTTACATCAGAGGCCAAGGTTCTTTGTAGTAATTTCGATATTCTGGTAGAAAT